CCCTGCCCTGACCCTGCGTCATTTCCGTCACTGCTGGAGCCTTCGAAGTTGACAAGACTGGAGACGCTGACCCTAAGCTCGATAGCCATGTCGAGATGCCATTCTCGTTCGGCGCCCCTCAGCCAAGCAAGCTCCGGCGCCAACGGATAAGGTCAACAGATTTCCTTTCTCAGAATTTGGCGAGACTCTTCGGTTCGCAGCGGTCCCCCACCATGGATGCGCGAGGGTGGGCTTTTGGCTTCGGCTTCGCCCCTCCCCTCGCCCCTCGTGACCCGCATGGGTAAGCTGCGCAACCAAGAATAGCGCGCGCAGTATAGTCCGCAATTCAGCGCCATTATACCCCAATTCAGATTGAAGAGGTGGGATGGCCGAGTGGTCTAAGGCGACAGATTTAAGCTCTGTTACTCGAGAGAGTGCGCGGGTTCGAACCCCGCTCCCATCATTTTGGCACGTTATACTTTTGTTTCGATGGTCAATGTTGTTCATTTTTCGCTTTGGCTGCTGTCCGCCATGTTTTCTGGAGTTGCACGCAATTGTGTGCTGTTTTGTGAAGGTGCGTTGTGGACGGCCGGTTTTTTGTTCTGGCGGGCCATGTCTGGTGCTGAGGCGGCCTGTTGTGACTCGCTGCGGGCGTCGGGTGCCGTGACTGCGATTGGTTCGGCGATGCTGGCCGCTGACGGGCACAGATTCCAGCGGCTTAGGGACCCAAGATAACGGGCAAGATTGCGAGATCTACCCCACCTGTGCAGCCGCTGCAGCGGGCGACTCACTACAACACCAGGGTCGGGTCTGCCAGAAATAACGCAATCAGCGGGCGGATGACACACTTGGACAGGCACATGCCGCGCAACCGGACTTTTGGGCTGCATGCTTGCTTACAATTCCCACTCTCGCTGCGGCTTCCTGTTCGTTCGCTCGGAATTGGACATAAGAGGTACCTCACCTTACCACCAGAGCTTCCAGCGCAGCCGGCTTATTTTTCGACCTCACACCGAGACATTTCTCCGGGTCCCAGGGATACCAGGGATACCGGCACCTGCCTGAACGGGCTGACGGTCTTTGTGCTGTCTCGAGTGGCTGCCTGGGAGCTACCTGGGTCCCGATCTCTACTCTCAACGTGCCGGCGATAACTTGCCATCCACAACTGCAATCAACTAAATTAGAGACAGGAATCTTGTTGGACAGCGGAGGCCAGAAAGAGTCATCCACTGCCTCCCCATAGCATGATGGATGTTGCAGAGCCTCTGGGTTTCGAGCCCCGCGACCACGGGCTGGTACCCCGCCGAGCCCTCGATGCCACCTTCGTCGATGGCAAGCTGAGCTTCACATCCCAGCGCGGCGGTGAATCCGTACGCCCGGAGGAGATTGTATTCATCATCCCGGCGAATCCTCACCTCAGCTCGGGTCCCATCATCTGCGCACTGAGAGAGGACGCTGAAGCCAAGGAATTTCCGTATCAGCTGGATATCTTCTTTGTCGCCGGCGACCTGCCCCCAGAGCTCACTGACGGCCTCCTACTCTCGCAATTCCCCGACCACCTCAATCCTCAACCAAGCCGCCACGATGTTCACTTCATCGTTTCTACAAAGTCCGGCCTGGGCCATGCTCCGAAATTCTGGGACAATGTGGTCCAGCCTCTGGTCATTCTCGCGGATCAAAAAGCACCAGGCGGCATGTCATCGCAAAGCAATGGCTTGTCTGACAGGTTCAACGTTCTTATTACCAAAGACGCCGACAGCGTTCGCAACTTTGCAAAAGACAACTGGGCTTCGAGGACGCAAAATCAGCCGGGTTCTTCTGCTACCAAGACCGAATTGATTGTTCTGATGAGTGGCGATGGTGGCGTTGTCGACTTGCTCAACGGATGCGAAGAAACGGAGACGCCGACTGCTCTTCCGACCATCGCCGTGCTGCCCCTCGGCACCGGAAACTCCAACTTCCACTCATCCCACAAGCCTCTCTACACCGAGAACGGGCCGTCGCACATGGTGCTCGGCCTCCGCACGCTCTTCTTCGGCACGGCCGCCCCGCTCCCCAGCTTCCGTGCCTCTTTCTCCCCCGGCGCCCGGTTGGTGACATACACTCCGGAACCTGACGCCAAGAAGCCCGAGGACGTCAATCTCCGTAACGATCGTGTTGGCCACCTTTTTGGAGCCCTAGTAGCCAGCTACGGTTTTCACGCTCAGCTTGTCTGGGAGAGCGACACGCCCGAGTACCGCAAGCATGGAGACAAGCGCTTCGGCATGGTAGCGCAGGAGCTGCTCAAGGAGAGTCATGCATACACCGCCAAGGTCGAGGTTCGAAGCCCGGACGGCGCCGCGCTGAAGGCGCTGCCGAGGGAAAAGTACAGCTACGCGCTGGCGGCGATGGTGTCAAACCTGGAGAAAACGTTTACGATCTCGCCCGGCAGCGGGCCGTTGCAAGGGCGTCTGAAGCTGGTTCACTTTGGCGCCGTGGGAGCGGAGAAGACGATGGAGATCATGATGGCTGCTTATAAGCAGGGCTCGCACGTGGGCATGAGGTGGAAGAATGGGGAGCAGGAAGACTACGTCGGCTACGAGGATGCGGAGGAGATCAGGGTGACGATCGGAAAAAGCGATCCTCGCTGGCGCAAGGTCTGCATTGATGGGACCATCGTCGAAATACCAGAGGACGGCTGGATGGCTGTCACCAAGGTGAAGCATCCGCTGTTCAGCATCCTCGCTGATCGATCCATATTGTGAGGCGGTTATTGTGGACAACAGAAATACAGGCGGCGAAGAGATGGGCTAGAAACATGCAATAATGATTGAACGCGCCTATCACGGATAGTGAAAACAAATATCAATCCCAGAGAGCCAAACGTACCGACGATGATGTTCAAAGTATAGTCGGATCGGTGGAGCGATGGCTCCGTCCAAGTTCACAGCGGCGTACTCGGCGACCGAACGGGACGGATAGTCGGAAGAGCGAGCGGCTAGGACGGGACGCCGCAGCAGGATGCCAAAGCTTGTGCCTGTTGATGCATGTTTTAGTCACCAGCCCAACCTTTTCCCGCACTTCGGGCGAACTTGCTAGTGAATCTTACTTGTTGGACTTTTCTGAGGTACGAAATGCCCGAATTACCCCGAATGAGACCATTCCATGCTAGTGCGCCACAAAGCCCAGCCCAGTGACAGACACGAAGAACATGTTTACGCAGCGACACGAAGTCGGGACCGAGAGGTGTGGCTTTCAACCAAGGTTCCTGTCATCAAAGGAGACTCGGGCCCGATTTCAATGCCTCAGATGCCAGAGTCAAGTTCAGGGCTGTCTTGTATAAATACTCTTTTAATCCACGACACCAAACGCTGGTTTCATTTCAACGTCTTCAATCTTGCCGACATTGCCTCTCTTTCTCATAACAGCCGGTTCGCAACTGGAGAAATGACCCAGCTTTACGATGTCATTGTCGCCGGCGCGGGCCCAGTTGGCCTTCTCTTGGCATGCGAAGTAGCCCTAGCAGGCGCATCCGTCCTCATCCTCGAACGGGACGCCAAGCCCGAGTCCGAGTGGAAAAGCAACCCCGTCGGCTTCCGGGGTCTCCACCTCCCCTCCATCGAGCTGCTCTACCGCCGCGATCTTCTCGGCAAGCTCTACGACCTCACCAACCGGCCCCACACACCCCCGAAAGGGTCCGGGATGCAGTTCGGCGGCCATTTCGCAGGCATCCCTCTGAACCTAAACCAGCTCGACCTGAATCGCTGGAAGTACCGCCTCCCGGGCCCATCGCTGATGCCAGGCCCCATCACGATCGACCGCATTGAGGCTGTCCTCACCGAGCGGGCGGAGAGCCTGGGCGTCACGATCCTCAGGGGTCATGGTTTCAACTGGATCGTCGAGGAGACGCAGAGCGGGATCACGGTGGAGGCGGGAGAAGAAGGGCAGAACTTCCGCGGGCGGTGGCTCGTCGGATGCGACGGCGGCCGGAGCGCGATCCGCAAGGCGGCAGGGTTCGAGTTCGCCGGGACGGAAGCGACTTTTACCGGGTACGTCGTCCACTGCGACCTGGATCATCCCGACAGGCTGGTGCCGGGGCTCGTGCCCACGCGGCACGGCATGTACATCTTCAGGAAGCCCGACATGGTGTACCTGATGGACTTTGACGGCGGCGCGGGGCAGAAGGCGGAGCACTCGCTGGAGCGGCTGCAGGATATCCTGAACCGCGTCACGGGCAAGCCGGACGACGTGCGGATGACCAAGATTCATCTTGCGACGCCGTTCACGGACCGGAGCAAGCAGGTGACGACGTACCGCAGGGGGAGGGTGCTCCTCGCCGGGGATGCGGCGCACATACACCCCCCTCTCGGAGGCCAGGGCATGAACTGCGGGCTGGGCGACGCTATGAACCTTGGCTGGAAGCTGGCTGCCTCGGTCCGACAAGAGCAGCGAAGCCCTGACGGCAAGGCCAACTTTGAGTTGATTGATACGTATGAGAAGGAGAGATATCCGATTGGAGAGTTCGTCCTCGAGTGGAATCGGTCGCAGGTTGCGGCGCTGCAGCCGAACGAGACCGGGTACGCCGTCCAGAAGCTCGTCCGCGACCTGATCGCCACCGACGACGGCGCCAATCATTTCATCGACCGGGTCTGGGGCCTTTCGCAGCGGTATGATCTCGGCAGTGACGTGCATCCGGCCGCAGGGCGAAGCGCCCCGGACTTCACATTCAAGGACGGCACGAGGTTGGGGCCCAAGATGGTGCAGGGCCGGGGAATGCTCATCGACTTTGAAGACGACGGCACGCTGAAGGATTTGGTCACAGAGAAGTACGAGAAGAGGCTTGACTACATCGAAGGAGACGTGGAAGACAGGCGCGGAATCCGTGCTTTATTGATTCGGCCAGACGGATTCCTTGCGTGGGCGGTGGAAGAAGGTGCGGAAGTAAATGTTGATGAATTGCATGTTGCGCTAGAGAGGTGGTTTAAAATCTAGAGAGAGCAAGAAGTGGTGGTGGTGGTATCGGTCATGAACATTTTGTACTTTTAGAAGTTGGACAGTCTCCTCACAATCGGCCTCGAGGAGAGAGGCACGACCTCGCGCTTGTAGATTCCCCTCTTCAGCTCGGAACGGGCAGACCCGCAGCTAGCAAAGAAAGAGTCTCCCAGAGTCTGGCAGTCCCCGTCGGTGAACCTCGCCGGCAGCTTGGTGCAGAGCTCGTTGTCCTCGCTGAGGATGCCGCCGCGCTGGCTGCAGAGCTGGCGGCCGCCGGTCCTGATGACAGACGTGCTGAGGGTTGCTTTGCACTGGCATTGGATGGTGCCTTGTTGTGCGAGGCCGAGGCCGAAGCTATGAACTTTCGTTAGATACATGCTCGCATTGCTGTGGTGAAAGGCTTAAACTTACCAGAGAGCGAGCATGATGTAGGAGATGATGAACTTCATTTTGAAGACGGATTTCGGGTGTGATGTTTGAAGCTCTGCTTGGGTATCTTTGATTTGAACAAGTCGGAGAGGTGGATGGATGGAGCTGTAGAGAGAGTGTAAAGCTGCTGGTGAAGGGCAGATGGTGTTGGTCAGAGAAGAGCCGCAGATCTTTATACAAGCAATGCCGAGCCGGCCGCACGTTCATGATCAACCGGCTCAATTTGACAGCCCTGTCATCCCATCGTGTGGTCCAAAGTGGATTTGACTCGCGTCCGCCTTCCTCTCACTGGTCCTCCTGGTATCCAAGCATCCCGAATAAAGCACTGCAGTGGCGTTGTTGCCGGCCGAAAAAGGGCTGAGAACGTTGCAAAAGGAGGGGAGGAGGGTGAGAGAGCATCCCTGGTCGTCTCATGTTTGCTCAGCCCGCGTAAGCTCAATGGCGACGGCGACCAGCGACGGCATCATTTTTGGGAGGGGAGTCCAAAGTCGCTGGGCCGGCCTTGCTTGCCTCGAAGGGCTCCCTCGCGATAATCAGCAACACGGAGCCGCCGGCCGTGCCAGTCGACGCAAGGCAGGGAGCTCCTGTGTGTCGCCCACATCCCGACGGTCAACCTCAGACGAACAATGCCAGATTTTGATCTCGTGTGGCTCGTGCAGCTTCATGGGAATGACGTTCGGGCTGACGTGGACTTGGCAGATGGGTGTTGTCTGTTGGCTAGGGCGACGTCTCAGGTTTCCGAGAAAGAGAGAGACAGAAAAATAAAAGAGGGCAGACGGCCGCGGTCGTTGGGTTGGGGGGGTTTCAGGGTTTAGGGGTAAAGGGGGCGGCGGTAACTTTGAAACTTGAGATGGCGTGCGGGACTCCACAAAAGAATAAAAGAACTCGCTCATGCAACCAACTCTCTTTTTGGTGTGTTCTTTAAAGATGGCAGATGCGGCGGTGCCATGGCGGTGTAGGATCTGGAGAAGAGCCGAGTGGTTCGTGGAGGATGACGACTGAGTTGCGAATTGAGTGTAAGAGCAATAGAGTGCCAAGACAAGCTTGTTTGTCGGTTGGCCTCGTTTAATTATAGAAGTCTTAATATCGAACCCGCCGAGCCTCTTGAGTCTATGTGCGGACCTTTGTGTTTTCCCTAGAGCTGAACGACTTGAGGGGTGAGTTCTAGGCCTGTTGTCGGGTTGAAACGATGCAGAGGCAAGACTTGGCCGTGAAGGTCTCATCTTGCTCTGCACCAACGGCACGATCAGCGTGAACTTCCTTGAAACAGTTGATACTTGCCAATAAATTTACTGTCCTTATCAAACAAGTGTCTTCCCACGCGCGGGCGTGCTGGGCTTTGCGAACTTGCACGTCGAATGGCTATTTATCTTGAGCCATGAATGATACGAGCCCAAAGCCTTTCCATAAACTTGGCCAGTGGCTCCTGTCGAGCCACGTTTAAAACCTAGTATGTGGATTCTCTGTCTCTCCTGCGATGAAGTATGGTCCACTTCGGATGAAGTCTTACTGGAGCGAGCGTACGTCTTGTTGCTAGTGACTCCGTGTCTGTTCACAACGAACGCGAAGCGAAGGTTTAACAAAGCTACCAACAGTAGTTGAAATGAGCACGTTTCTATCGCTCCAAACTAGCTCTCGTTTTCATACGCAGCATTCCTGACTCGATCTCGTTTGGACCCCTGGCTACTTGTTTATTTGATTGCAACCACTCTCGTGAGAATCGGCTTCGCGGTCTTGGATATCAGCTGTCTGCGAGATTCAGTCAGTAATCAACATTCGATTGCCTACTCAAATTTCTGTAATGATCATCAACCTGTTCCTTTCGGAGATCGCGTGAAAGAGCAAATGAGATAAATGCTAAAGGGAATGCTAGAGATTTGGGCCCTTCAAGACCAATGTCATGCAGAATAGGAAAGCACAACAAGGAGTTATGAATTTGATAGAGCGACTTCTATGACGAGCCGATGAGAAATCTTGGAAACTTGCCCGCCTCCCACGTTGTATCTTGAGAAGTTCCGACTCATTTATCGGCCGTCAACTCATTGCTTTCAGGCATTCGCCTTGATAACACCGTGTTGGTCGACATGTTATAAATTTCAAGCTGATTCACTTTCATTTGATATGGAGAAGGGCTTATGATGGCCTTTGAATATGCGGTCAACAGAAATGATCTGGAATCGAACTCCTTGTCGTTAAAGATTATTGAATACGACCAAGTCACTAGATGTAACCTGGATAAGACGCGTTATCAAATGGGTGGCAAACACACACACGTCGGGTCGAACCACAGATCAAGTGAACCCTGAAGCAGGCTACCCTGAGATCTGTCTATCTATCAAGGCCTCGCTTGACTCACATTCCAACCTTTCATATACTGATCTGATCATGTCTTCCAGCAACAATCAATGACACAAGTCTCTGTAGCTTAGTCGGTAGAGCATCAGTCTCATGGTCTTCTCAGATGGTACTCTTAGATAGTATGAGGTAGCTGAAGGTCGTCAGTTCGAGTCTGGCCGGAGACAATTTCTTTTTCTTTTTGTCCCCTTCTGATGCCTTAATTCTTTTTGATGATTTTACTTTTGAATGCTTTCTTCTTTTTTATTAAATCATTGCAGGAAAGCAGCCAGGGGGACACAAATCATCCTCATGTGGAAGTGTTCATGTAAGTCTACATGTTTCCAGGCATCTTGAGTCAATTTGTAATCCTCAACCGTCACCGAAGTCCCAAAACATCGTCACATCAATTGAACGTATTGACAGATGACATGCGCACAAGACTTTCCGGTACTCACAATAGGCGACTTAAGTTGGTCACGATCCATGTTCACTGGCCTCCAAGTCAAAGATAGTCTGGAGGACTAGTGGTCCGCAACGTCGGTAATACAAACCTGAGCGACTATTCGCGGCGAGCTCACCTTTGATCAGGTCTTCACTGTATGTGATAATACCATGAACATGCCCATAATTCCTATTCTTGCAGGCCCTGGACTCTCAGAGGAGTCGAAACAATCTGGAGTTTCTAATGCAGGGTTCTTCATGGGCGGCTTGGCGACATCGTGCTCCTTGCACCGATTACACAGCATTTCTTGGTCCCAGGACAGACATGAGAAGGTTCCCGAGAGAAAAGCCCCATCCCCAAGACAGTGGCCCAGCGACTGCAACAAAGGAGGAGGTGCAGGCTGAATGATGGGTACTCTCGGGAGCCATCCGGATTGTGGGGCTGAAGGCGGAACCCCAAGTTCGGCGCGGGACCCGATCGGTGGAGATCCTTTGGCGGAGTCGGCGAACGAATCCGGGACTGAAGGACTTTTGATAGGAACAAGGGACTTGTTGACAATGATATCTTGAATTACAAAAGGGTCGGAATCGTTTGATTGTAACGGTCAATGTCTCGAACACACTCATTCATTCAATACTTAGCAGGTTGAGAACAGCGACATCAACTTCAGAAATGACGCCCAAAAGGCATTCTCATTTCAATTTCTCAAAGTGCGGCGTCCCGAACCGGCATGATCACTACGAAAATGTGAATGGACACCATACCAGGTGATGTTGGATCGCGGGCCAGACTGCCGACCAGACGAGGGCCAAGTCATTCGAAACGAAACGCCCCTGAGCCCCCAAATAATCAGCGCCCCCTTTACGGGAATGGCGGTAGAATGCCACCCCAATTAGCGCCGATCACCACCCGAAGTTCTCGACAGAGGGTAGCATTTGGAAGGATTAGGAGAGCAGTCGCCGACTTATCATCCAATTTACTTTACGACAGGAGCGTCGGTCTGGCATTGTTTCGCATCCAGGCGACCTCCAACCCCAAAGATGCCTGTCGCGTGGGGAACGCCACGGCGCGTTGACACGATCCTGTGACAGCAGATCCGTTTCGAGCGGCCCCCGGCTAGCCGGGCCAGCCTCTTTGTAGGTACGAATAGCTAGCTGTGTTTGTCGGAATTGCAGCCACATGGCTAGAATATTTCCAAAACCTCCTCCCGCGGAAATGTTCAATAACGTCTGGAAGAAGCAATGAGAACCTAAGACACCACACGACTTTTCGTCTGAACTGCGGAGTTTAGAGACACACACGGCCCGGAAAACATGAGATCGTCCCGTGTACTACTTTGGCTATGGTTCGCGGTCTCGCAGCAACCAAACCCGGTTTTCGGTTATGACGGCAGCGATGGTGATGCGCAGGTTCGCGATCGCATCTGCGACTCGGATTCATGTCACGAGCAGAGCCATTTGGGGGTTCTCGACACAGGCGGCGACTTCCCCCTCGCCGACGGGGCCGTGCCGGATGGACTGGGCGATTCCGAGGAGATTCGCGTCCGATATGGAACAAGTGAGCGCATTGCTGTCTAAACTCACTTGAGATGAACACACCACCGCTGACAATTTCACACAAAGATCTCAAATCAGAAGATGGGCTGTGGGAGGTTCGCCCCTCGCCAGGCAAGGGCCTCGGCATCTTTGCACGGCGCAAGATCCCCAAGGGCACGCGCATCATCGACGAGACGCCGCTCTTCACGGTCGACCCGGGGAGTCTGGTGAGCGGGCAGGGGTTTGCCTTCGATGCGATCGCGACGGCCGTCGACAGGGCCTTTGAGACGCTCAACGCGACGGCGCGGGCGGCGTATCTGTCGTGCCCGGAGCACCGCGAGATGGACGACGCGGCGTTCAGCAGGGAGGCGCTCATTTTCCGGACGAACGGGTTCACCATGGCGGGCGGGACCATCGGCATCTTTCCGCGCATCGCGAAGCTCAACCACGCGTGCACGCCGAACTCTGCGAGCGTGTCCGTCGACGGGAGGAGGATCATCTGGGCTGGGAGAGACATCGCGGCCGACGAGGAGGTGACGGTCACGTATGCGCCGCTCACGGAGACAACGGAGGCGAGAAGGGCAAGGCTTGCGCAGTGGGGATTCGAATGCAGTTGCCAGTCATGCTCGGCGAGGGACGAGGGCGCAGGAGCTGCCGACGATTCGAAGCGAGTGGAGATGAAGAGGTTGATGGGGTTGATTGAGCG